TCAAGAGAAAGACGTGAAAAAAATGTATTTGTTTCAAATACAAAAACTGTACAATTGTCAGGGGTTGGGGAGGTGAGGATGATAGCGTGTGGATGGGTGTGGGGGCTGGGGGTGGAGGGGTCTTGTTAAAGAAATGCCGAGATCATTGACCAACTTCATTTTGTCGGACGCTCTCCAAGATTCCATTAACTATAAATCTCGAGAATTTGGCTTCTACAGCTGATTTCTCTTGTGGCTATATGAGTGAATCTGTATTTGGAGGTACACCTAACTTAAGAGTAAATTAAATTCTAAATGACTGGAAGATAAAATCTTGTTGAAAAATCTCCATAGAATAAAAGCAGTGAGATGAGAAAATCGAGCGAAAACTGAACAATTCACTTAAGTGTACTGCCAATCATATATATATATAAGATGTCACTCGCAAACTGCAGTCGTGCTATCTGGTTCTCCTTCAACCTAATATTTGTGACCCACTAAAGTCCTACAATAATGTTACTCTTTCATCACCTCACAACACTTGTACCCTAGATTCGATATTTTAATCGACCTAATGACAATTATTGTAGCTGTGTTTGACCTTAAAACGGCCTCATTTCATGATGTGTTCATTGGTAATTAGGACATTATTTTAGGCAAAACCAGTAACATCCAATAAAATTAGAAAACCAATGACCTTATTTCGCATTCTTGTACTTGCGCCTATAAAAGTATTGCACACGGGCGATCGATTTCATTTCAATAGCACCACACTAGCAGACGGCAGTATGTCGAGCGAGCAAACAATTTGTGAAGAAAGTTTGCAGAGTCCATCAACGGACCAAGGCAACGTCGGATCAATGGTCCGTATGCTTCAAGAGAGGTGAGTAACACTCAGTCTTCAAAGTTATTGACAGCATTTGCCATGATTCGAGAGTAGCATATGAAACAGTGGTCAAGAGAGTACAATTTTGACTTCACGTCTCGTGGTGGGTTGTTTCAGAGGAAATCACAATTTGGTCTTCATCCTGTGAAAAATGTACTAAATCCGACTAATTAGGAGGAAGAAAATGGGAATTAATGAAGTGCCGTCTTCCCAAGAGGCATGAAACTTAACGAACGGATTTATCTACGTCGGAATTGCGGTTGATAGCACTCGTGTATTGCACGTGTAGGTGCCATGAGATGAAATCAACACCCATAGCAATTAAAGTAGCTACTTCTCCACACTCTAAATACCTTGATTACTTGCCAAAGAGAAAATAGTAAATTACTTCGAGACCCTTCGAGTCACCTTTCTTTATCCATTTAAATACCTTTCGAGCTCTTATTTACATTTTAGTGGAGACAACTTTGTCCATTTGCTGCCGTCTCTAAAGCGTTGTGTGGACGACCTCTGCAGGAAAATTGAGTGGATTACACGAGTGCCACTTCAATGCAACTTGGGAGATGACGCAAGGAACCAAGTTATCTCCTTTCTTCTCGATTATGGAACACTTCTCAATATTTTGGCTGAAGTCAACCCGATTGTTAAAGGCATTTGTAATCGTCTAAAAGCGTATGAGAAAATGAAGACCTTCGTTCCAAGCCGTAGATGCAGAGGTAGAAGGTATAAATTTTGCTATGACAGGTAAATAGTTGCTCTGAGTTGATGTCTCATTTTGCAAGCACATTTGAATCGAGGACTCAATTACTCTTTTGACAGCCACAAATGCCGGTCATACCTTTAATGGGCAGCATTCTTATCTCCACCACATACTCAGCTTGGGCCAGTAACTACCTTGTGTATATATGCCAAGAAAGTGTAGATTGGGGGCCAAGTAGTAGTGAGGCATTGCACTGTCTTCACCTTCAAATTAAGTGCTCAAAATAAGAACAGCGAGGAGAAGGACGAGAAGGAGGAGGAGGCATATTCGGAGCAGACAAAAAGAGGAGCAGTTAGCACTAAACCTGTGATGTGATAAGGTGGCAGAGTAAAGCACAAATGAATATAACAGAGCCGTGCACAGATTAAAGAATGAGGAATTGCATGAAGAAGGCAGAAAATTAAGTTGTAATGGATAATCCATAATATTTCACTAAAGCCACTCTTGTTTGGGGATTGATGGAGTGTAGGGCAACATTACTTCCCCAATTTGCTAGAAAGGACCAACGCTTTTATTCACCATTTCTTTATGCAGTGTGAGAGATCACACAGACAATAACCAGTGGCAGACTAGATTTCATGAGTTGCACTGATTAGAGTATAAGTTGAGGAAAGCCTACCCACTCTCACATTGGTCAGCCTACGCGTGATTTGCGAAATCA